CCGGAAGGAATACGTAGAAAGAAAGGACGAGGGGGGAGGGGGGGGGGGGGGGGGGGGGGGGGGGGGAGAGAATGGTGGAAAAGGAAAACAACTCTTCTGAGAGTAAACTGTTTTATGAAATATAGTGACTGGCCAAATAAAAAAAAATGGCTCATGAGAATGAGTGTGATTCGGTGTTGAATGATAACCTCACGATGACGTCGTCTAGATGATGAACAAGTTAGGAAAAGCTGAACAATTGAAGATGTAGAGAGAGAAATGTCTACAAAAGATGTATGCAAAAAGCGAGAGCAGGAAAGTTTGAGATGTTTGACGAAGAAAACTTGATGACGACGCCAAAAGGTGTGGAATGACATAAAAGGAATGAAAAGTAAATAAAAAAGAAAGACAAACTGCTTTGGAAATGGGCGGAGGAGGTAACGAGGTTTTCTACGTGAAAACTAAAAGAAAACGATTAAGATAAAAAGAATGGGACTAACACAGAGAGAGAGAGAGAGAGGGAGTGAGGTAGAGAGAGAGAGAAAGAAAATGTAAAGAAGAAGAAGAAGAAGAGATGAAGATGAAGTGAAATCAAAGAGTGAAAGAGAGTTTAAGATGAAAAATTAGTCTCAAATGAAACATCTGGAGGTATTAAGACGAACGTTTGACGACGACGACGACCATTGAAGATACCACAAATTAAACTTTTGAGATTGAAAAACGTATAGAAAATGTAATGAAATTTGAAATTGACTGTCGTTATTCAAACATGGGAATGTTGTTCGTTTTGAACAATCAATATAATAATTCAGAAGATGAGAAGATGACATGACATGAAGACGAAGAAGAAGCAGAAATGATGACCATCAATGAACTCATAGCAAGATAGAAAGATATGACTAGAGAGAGAGGGAGAGAGGGAATGATAGAAAAGCATGGAAGGGGGAGAAGCATCAAGAGATGGGTAGGAGGAGGAGAATGACGTGAGTGCAGTCAGAAACGAACGTTTGAGATAAGAAAGAGAAACGATAAGATCAGACAGAGACATTGCCATTGCGAACGATGTAAATGCTGACCATATATGGCCCTAAGGGTAATCAGAAGCCATCTTCATGCGTCTCATATTTCTCTGAACTCTCTTCAGTTCAAGTTATATTAATAGATTTTATTCAAAACATTTGTCTGTATGTAGTTCGTCATGTGAAATATGGAGAAGATAAGCAAGCGACATAAAGATTGTCAAATATGAAATTGCCTCAGGCATAGTCTGATGACATGAACTTCATCAACAACAAAACAAAAAAAACAGTCGAACAGAGAGAAAGAGAGAGAGAGAGAGAGAGAGAGAGAAATGGAAAAAATGAATGAAAGAGAGTGTCTTTCCGTAAGAGGCAGGTGTTGATGCCATACAAGCATGAACCCCATTGTCATCCTGCTGGATTTTCTTTTAAGCCCAAATTTATGCAAATGAGGCAGTTGTTTCCTTATAAGCAAAAGAAATCGGAAAAAGAGCCTAAGAAGAGAGTAATAGCCATATGGCCAATGAATGAATCTTGTCAAACAACCTGACTAGTTGACACAAAATTTAGTTCTCACATCTGAGAAATTGAAGAAAAAAATTGGTTGACGATAGACAAAGAGAACCTTTCTCATTCATTTTTTTCCCTTCCAGAGTCACAGGGTTAGAAGAACGAGAGAGATGAAGTGAGAGTGTGAGTATGAGATCAAGATAGAAGTATGGAGAGTGGACTAAGATGAGATCACGTAGAAAACAATCCAAAACATTTAACCGAACAGAAAGCAGTATCAATGCTTCAAGAAAAAAACCGCTTGGGAGACTACCAAGAGACATTCTCATCCATAGACAGAGAGATATAGAGAGAGAGAGAAGGATGAGACAAGGAGAGCGAATGAGAACGAAGAGACAGAAAGTGTAAAAAATGAATTAAGAATAATGAATTAAGTGAAAATGGAGAATGAAAAAAAAGCATCGAAAAAGACAAATTAGCAAAGAAAACTAATCGGAGATGAGAAAAAGAAAAAAAAAAAAAAGTTCAAATCGCACCTCATCCAGATGTTCCTCCTCGACGATTCCTTCTAATTGCAGAATTTTTTCGGGCGCTGTGATAATAGATGGAATGCAGGAAGTGCCTGACGTACAGGCTTCAGATGAAACAGATACAAGGCTTAAGCTAGATGATGCAGAGCTTAATTGGATGGCAGCCAATTGCTGTCGAAGAATATATTCTTCTTCTTCACTCGAACCTTCAGGCAATTGAAATGCTGAGCCTTCAGGTAATAGACTGGCAAGCAGGGCAATTCTGAAAAGAAACATAACATTAGTAAGATGTATGCTGCTGTATGTTGTATGTATATGGAATGTAGATGTACATATATGGAATGTAGTTGATGAACATGTCATGTGTTAGGATACTAAGTAGCAACATTAGAACGGTAACCACTATAGTTATGAAAATATGGTTGAAATTGGAAGAATGATGAGCAATCTCTGTCGCCATTTGATGACAAATCAAGTTGAAAGACGAGGTAAAAGTGAATATTCAATGAGTTCAATTGCAAATTTATGTAATACAATCTATTGTACATGTTGAGAGAGAATATGATAGAAAGAGAGAGAGAGAGAATGATAGGTATGGAAGAACAAGAAAGGTAGATAGAGCTAGAGAGAGAGGGAGAGAGAGAGAGAGAGGGAGAGAATATCTTTTTTATGATTTGAAGGGAGAGTATGGCTTCACTGCGATCCTTCCATACAGAGAAGACGTAATCTCATAGAGAATGAATGAGAAACTAACGTGATTTGATGGAAGAAAAAAAAAGTTTTGAAAGAGAGAATGTTTGATAAAAAAAAAAAAGTTGGAAAAGCAGGAAGAAATGCTGAAGCAATGGAGGTAAGAATGAATACCAAATGTACTGAATGGCAGTCTAATGTTCTGATGTCCAGCTGTATCTTCAGATCTTCCAGAAAATATAAAAAAGATTTTAAAGAAAAAGACAGAATGAGAGAGAGGGGGGGAGGAGAGAGATAAGAAGAATGACGGCGATTGAAATGAAAAATTCTAAGGCTTAGATGATGAGGAGTTCCAACTTAAACAAGAAGCTGTTGTTTCTGTAGTGCTCCGAGGATCGAGATCATAAATCTAAGATGTTCGAGGAAGGAGATCGGAAGATGTCATCGACATAAAGTGAACTAACAGGTGTTCTTTTATATTAATTTGGATAAGCTTCACACTATGTCCGACAAAAAGAAAAATGAAAGAAGTGAGCGAAAGGAGAGGAGAACAGAAAGCGAATGAGGAAACTGGAAAAGGGTGGTTCATAGTTGAAGAGAAAAGAAAACAATGAGGTGGAAGTTATGAAAATACAACCGTTCTTTCAGAAATCAAAACATCAAATGAAATGTGTGTGTGTGACGCACAGACGGTTGGCTCACGTCAAACGGCTCACGTATGCTAATGTAATGCGCGAAAGAGACGAGAAAGAAGAGGGAGAAGAGATATTGGAGATTGAGCATAATCAACATGTCGGCAAAAGTGTTTTGAAATATCAATATGGTTCTCGAATAAGCAATATGGTTAGTTTATTTAGAAATATATAAAGAGAGAGAGAGTGAGGATGGGTGGAAGGGAGAAAGTTGAGAAGAGACAAGCTGCATAGGTCATTCTGTGAACGCGTGAACTTAGAGCCCTGAGGCATCGAACGTGTTTTAAATATAAAGAATTAGAGAGTGTAAAGGAATATAATGTGTAAAAGAGAATGGAAAAGATTGGCAACAACTTTATAAACACAGACAACCAAAGTGGTCATTTCTGTTTCTGTTGTGAAGCCTGTCGAACATCAGAGGTCCCTATAACTGCAAGACAAGCGATTGCAATGAGAGAGAGACACGAGAATATAGCTAAGTGAAGGAGAAGCTGAGAAAACGAACAGACAGTTATTCAAAACATAATGGCGACTCATGAGGTCAGAGAATAGCAGATGAATAATATGAGAGAGAGCAAGAAATAAGTTTTATGGAAAAGAGAGATTGAGTGCTGGCATAGAAAAAAAGAATAAAGGTTATGAAAAATATAGAATGCAATTAAGAGAGAATCAGACAGATACATGGAGGGACTGACAAAACGTGCTGGTTGAGAGCACATGCATAGTTCATGAGCTGAAACAATGCTGGAAAATCGCGCATTATCCAGTTGACCACGAAGTGGACATCTGTATAAGAGAGTAGCCGTCATAGCATTTACTTATGAAGAGGCTAGAGAGAATTAAGATAAAGACAAAGAAGGACAAGATGAACGCATACAGACACACGACATCATCGGCAAGCAGTCCATTTGAAAAGGAACCAAAGCAAGAAAATTTTACAGACAAGCTGGAGACAAGCTTGATGAAACTGAAACGGCAGCCTGCCAGCTGGCTGCGATTCAAACAAAATTCAGAATATTGAAGTGAGCATGAGGTTTTCACAGAAGTGAGTTAGGTCAAACAGAACCAGGATGATGATGATGATGATGATGACGACCACGACAAGCACAGGAAATCGAAAGGAAACACACGACTTCTGAGAAGACTAATGGAAAACAGGAGCATGAAGGATGGAGGAAATGGATTGTCGGAGGTTAAAAAACATAATTTAATTGAAGAAACAACGAAGTTTGTTTGTTTTGTCGTCTTACAAGTATTCTGATGGCAATGAAATTAAGAAAAAACAAACAAAACTACCTTGCCAGTTGTGTTTCTCTTTGAAGATTCGAGAGCGAAGTGAAGAGAGAGAGAGAGAGAGAGAGAGGGAAGAAGGAGAAAGAGGGTGTGAGGAAAATGTATAAAAAACAATTATTATTTGAAGGGGAAGGACGAAAAAGTGAGAGATAGGCGTAACTGGATAAGGAGATGGAATGAATCAAATAAAAATGGAAGAAAGGCGTGGTGGGGGCGATTGACGAATGGAGGAGAACAAGAGAAAATTTATATGAAAAGTGAAGATATGCAAAAAGCATGACGACATACGGTTGGTAATGAAAAAAGAAGAAGAAAAGATATCTATCGGAATCCGGATGGTCGGTTGAGGTAGATGCTGCAGAAGACTATATTGCTTCAGAGCTCTTGGCTGTAACGATGGATGGATGCAAAAAAAGTGAATGGATGTGTGAGAATATGAGAAAGAGAGAGAAAGAAAGAGTGAGCGGAAAGACGGCTGAGATATTCAGATTTCCATCATCTTCACTAAGGTGAAGCGGATGGTACCAAAATCAAACAGATGAAGTATGTGTGCTTGCTGGGATGAAGCCAGAAAGATGGACGATGTCCAGATTGTGTGAAACTATCTTCAACTTCAGCCCAAGGTCGTTGGCTTTAAGATGCCACGAATGTAAAACAAACATCTGTATCTCGACGACGGAGGAAAGAAGAAAGGAAAATCATTTTCCCACACAAGAAGCAAAACAGCAAAAAGGATCAGATGTTGAGACTTCTTTCATCTGCAATACTGGACAGACAGAGTCGCAAAGAAGGTTGTTAAGGTTTTTTTCGTTCACTCCTACATTCGAACACATAACTGTGGAGAGAGAGAAGGGGGGAGAAAAGCTATATGAAGAATGAAAATGAGAGAAAACGAATGAGAGGAGTGAGAGAGAGAGACAGGAAGAGGATAAGAGGTTGAATATTCATGTGGTTTGATACAGTTGCTTTGCGTGTAGACCAGAATGGACTGTGCTTATTTTGAATTCTATATGAAATCTTTCAATGCAAAGAAGACAGACGACTAACTGACGATGAGAAGCTTCACAGCATAGCCTTCTACTAGAAGGAGCATCTTCACTTATTCATTCATTCAGTTGTTCATCTGTTTATAACAATGCTGAGTATGTACACTTGCATTAATGAATTAGATGATCATTTATGGTTTTTATTCAAATTTAACTATCTGCTCCCCCCCCCCCCTTGCTACTCCCACTACGTATTCCTATTCTCTTAACCACCCTCTCTTCCTTCTCCGTCATTCTCATTCGAAGCTTTATCTCTTTATTATGCTGTACAACTACTACTTAGAAAGTGATTATCAAACTTCAGTTAAAAGCTCAGAGGTACTACTACTACTACTGCTTTCTGGCTTTACGTCCTCATCCTCATCCACTCTCTCATTCCTTTCTTATCTTTCGCACATCTACCTCAATAACGTTTCCGTTCGGAACCATTAAACATGTGTTATTCTTTACCATCTATCTTCTAACAATAACGAAACAAGTTCAAAAAAAGAGACACAAAATGAGTCACAGTCGTTCCGAAAATTCTTTTAAACAACGTTTTTATTTTGTGACTCATTCATTACCTCAAAAGAAAATTCCAATCCCAAGCACAACCGTTCACTGACTAAACTTTGCAACGAAATGGTTTTTGCTTTTCTTTTCACGTAACATTCACGCGGCGTCAATGTTTCATGCTAATTCACATAGAGATGACCGAAAACAATCAATATGCATCTTAACTATAAGACATGAAACATTGGTTCACATCAAACGGCTTTTCCCATTTTCCGTTTGTCCTTGAACTTGTCATGACAAGCTTCTACTCACAATACTATGTATTTGGGCATCCTTTCGCAAGTCATAAGCTGAAGAAAACAGAAAAAGAAATAAAAGAAAAGCTCGAAGCCCTGAGGGTAATTAATGGTTCAGTCATGTCGAGGTCATGACAATGAGTCTTCTAGATTTCTCAGAAAAATATCACATAAAGCCATTCAGAGAAGAGGCAGTCAGTATTTCACACAGGACTTCTCCCTCTCTCCCTCTCAATCTCTCTCTCTCCCTCTCTGTGTCTCGGTTAGAAAAACCATCAATCTATCTCTGGATGTCTTCAGAATGAGAACAAATGATATATCTGTCTATGAAGGAATTACTAAACAAACTGAATCAAAACGAATTTTTGGAAATTCCTCTCAAAAATCTCACAGCTTAACAGTTGTCTGGACTATCACAGTGTTCTTATACGACGGAAATAAGGGTGATGATAATAAAAAAAAAGAAAAAAGTTCGGTGCAGAAGCGAAAAGCGTTGATAGAGGAAGATGTCAAACAAACAGAAAACAACGACGACATTCATCGGCTTCTGATTAGAAGCTTTCCTTCGCTTAATCCGATGAAGAATTTCGGGTAAACGAAAATTCGAAAAAAAAAAAAAAGTTCTCAGAATGATCAAAAAGCAGCTGATAATACATGATTCAGTAATGTGTTAACAGGAATGAACATTCATTTCCGCGAAGTTGAGGTGTAGCGATTGTTGTCATTCCTACCTCCCTCCCTCTCTCTCTCTCTCTCTGTTACTCAACCACAACAAACGTCTCTTCTACAAGTTCTACTTTTGAAATGAAAAATAAGAAAAGCTGAGAAAATGAGGTAAACGAATCTCATTTGAGATTACGAGCGTTCTGCCTCATTTCGGAATTCTCATTTGGCCTTTATCAAACTGTCTTCAGACGCTCGAAATGCATTTGATTGAAACAGTACGGAAGAGGAAGAGATGCGGAGAGAAAAATAATTGTGAGAGATGAATATTGAAAAGACAAATCGGAATAAGCAATGCAAATAAAAAGTGAACAGAAGACAAGACAACAGTCAGATATATGGAATATGATGAGAGAGGAGCTAGAGAAAGCGGAATAGAAAACGTCTACTGTTTGACACTGACGAAGACGAAGACAGTGATGTCGACGTCATCAACGTCTTCTGAACTTTCTGTTTGCAGCAGCAGCGAACAGGATGTAAGCAGTAGCGATTACATGAAAAGAAACAATTGAATAAAACCCGATAAAAGCTGAGAAATTGACATGTTAGGACAAGCTGCATCTTTGATTTTCAAGAATAAAAAAAGTTGAAAACTGAATGATAAATGATGTTCGATGTTATTCATTGGAGGAGGAGACACGAAAAAAAAGATTATGAAAAGGCTTACAGAATGTGAAGAAGAAGTAAGGAGGGAAATGATGAATGGATGAGCTGCCAAAAGACATTGAGGGTCGTTGGGGTCAATAGGTAAAACAACTCAAAAGCTTTAGCAGCTGACGCCACCTTTCACACTATAATAGACTAATGACTGTTGGATTTGCTGTCAGATTTGTGGTTGTGGCAATAGCTGGACCAACCACGGTCACTCTCTCTCTCTCTCTCTCCCTTCCTCTTGTTGTTACTCTCTATCTAGTTCATTCTCTCTTCATTCGATTGTCTTTTCCTCTCTTCCTTTTACATGATTTGCTCCGGTTGGTTTTATTGTTCTCCTGTTAGTTCATGCTCTCTTTACCTTTTACAAGAAACCGACGACCGTACAAAAGTGGCGAAGAAGAGGTGAGGGAAGGGAGGAGGACGAGGAGGTGGAGGGAAGAAAACGTGAAAAATGAAGGAACGTCTATACATAATAAAACATATAAAAGACATACTTTCTTAATAAAAGATCCAAAAGAGGCAAAATGAACAGAAAGGACACACAAACATCGACATGGCCATTCAATTCACACATTTCCATGTTTTGTTCCAACAAAAAAAAAGCAAAATTTCAGAAAATGTATGAATTGAGAAATGGGTGAAATAGGAAAGTCGCATTGAAGAAGAAGGTGAAGCTTTAACAGAAGAAAAAGCATAGAGAGTGAGTGAGAAAGCCGGAAATGGACTGTCAGATGGGAAGCTGCATGAGTCTTTTGTTGAGCAAGCAAGAGAGATTAGGAAGTACAAAGAGACATGAGACAGAGATATATGAAGAGAAAGGGAGAATGAAGAAAGAGAATGAAAAAAACGAACAAAAAACCTCTGAAAGCTTGAAGGATTGATGAAAAACTTCAAAAAATGAGAGAATGCAAATGAAATGAAAGGGAAGACGCTATGAATATGATTGAAATCGAAGGATAAATATCGAAATTGATGATAATTATGCAAATAACCAGCTTAGACCATCATATCCATTTCATAAAGAAGATGATACAAAGGATAATTAACAGTTAATTGATATATATGATTAGAGGCTCATCATCATCACAGGAGAATGTACTTGGGAAGCCTTAAGCCCATACCAACCATATACACTTCTTAAGGTCTTTCAAAACAGATGAAGAATGATGGAATATCTAATGACCCTGAAGGCTGATAACACCAAACTGTTGATGAATATGAGAAAGACAGAGAGAGGGAAGAGGAATGTAGAGTAGAAAGAAATGAAATTAAACGACAAAATAGTATCTGCAGATGATGTTTACGACGGAATGATTCTTCATTCGCATATAATAAGGAATATCATTATTATCCTTCATTCTTCATAATCACCCTTATCATATATATTTGCCACGATGAATTTGTATAGTCCTCACACGGCTAATAGATACAGAGAGAGGGAGAGAGAGAATAAAAGACGATGACAGAGTATGAGAGCGAAAGAATAAAAAGAGAGAAACAATATGAAGAGATCGCATTTTCTAACTGCGATATCCAAATAAAGATATTTCTTAAAAACAATCCGGGTAATAGATTCCTGGCAAGATCAGTAAATAAACGACCTTCATACTTCATTTTCAGCCTTTCTCTCTCTCTCATTTTCCATCCTCTCTTTGTCTATGCTATGTCTAGGAACTTCTTCAAAGAGCTTCATCAAACTTTTTCATCAAAATTTCTACGAAGACCCCCAATAGCATAGCTTCAAGCTATTAAGAACTTTACGAAGTACGAAATAGGAAATTAACTTTTCGCACCCACAATCCTCACTTTCGCTCTCTTTCTCATTCGGTATCTCTCTCTCTCTTCTGTGCTCCGCTTCCCTCTACTACTACTACCCTTTCCCTCTTAATTAATGAAACGTATTTAATAGTTTTTGGGGTGAGGGTATGGTCAATCTGTGTGCCAGCTAGTTCAAGTTATGAACATGAATTCACATGACAAATATTCTGTTCAAAATGGATATTATTAGCTGTTTCATATCCTTTTGAAGAATATTTTAGTCTCTAATTAGCTGTCGGACATGTCTCACATAAGACCGGTGACCGGTAGATATAACCATATTTTTCCGTCTCACCTCACCAATTAATTGATGTATGAATACAGGTCTTGTTATGTAAAAATTATTTGATAAAACTAATTAAAATCATAATTAAGTATATACATAAGGAAAGCTAGCGATTAGCATCTTCACTAAGGTCAAGTGTTGTTAACATCCTTACTTAGTACTTTCGCATTTCAACAACAACAACAACCACACAACAGCAGGAGGAGGAGGAGGAGGAGATGGAGAAGGAGAACAATTGAAAAAAGAAAAAAGGAAAGAAGTTATTGCAAAGTAAAAAGGTATAAGACGACGCTGCTCCAAGATGCGAAAGCTGACACAAAGCAAGAAAAATACTAAAAAAATCATTAATATTTTATAGCAAGTACCTAGTGAAAAACTAGAGAGAGACGCTAAAAGAAAGAAAGCGTAATAGTTGCAAATAATATGGGCAAAGAAAGACATTGACACTCACACTACTACTACAGCTACTACTACGAGATATGAGATAGATGACAGCGAATGTGCAACCGCTCAACTTCTATGCAACACACAAGAAATGAATTTGTTATTCACACTCACATAAACATACAACGTAAGTGCGTTACACGTGTCACGTAATGTTCACGTGAAACTGTCTACGTGATACATGGTTTAAACGCCGTGAGTTTATGTTTGCATGATGGAATGGTAGAAATCTAGTAGGGGGAGAAAAGAAGAAGAAGAAGAAGAAGAATAAGACGAAGATGATGAAGAAGAAGAAGAGAAAGACTTCATAATCCTTATTCGGATTATCAAACAACTCGGTTCATAAGAAATGTAATTTGTCATGCAACCAGATCGAACTAACCCTTTATAAGCCAGAATATCGTCCTCATCGCTGTCAGCCGCATCGTCGCCTATTTGACTCCAATCAGTTACAATAACATCTTCTTGGTTATCATCATTCATTATGGTGCTGCAAAGGAATAGTTGAGAGTGAAAGACATCAAGACACAATGCGAACATATGAAGGAAGGAAATGGAGTGACCAACTAGTATAATAGGCCTTAGATCAAGATCAAGGTAATATACAATAAGAATGTGGTATTTCCCTTGGGCTTGAAACGTAAAGATTTCTGCTTCAGCTTTTATGGAGATCGGAGCAATTAAGAAACTAAGAGAGAGGTGGAGAGGGAAAGAGAGAGAGGGAGAGAGAGAGAGAGAGGGGAGGAGGAGGAAATCACAACACAAACGCAGTCTTAATCGAAATGGAACAATATTTTGACAAAAAACAAGCGAGAAACTTTAAAGGAAATTAGTAATAAATGAAGGAAAAGCAGTGAGATGTATTAGCGACAGATTGTTGCTAGTTGGCAATAAGATGATGAATGGAAGAAGAAGACGAGATGCTTATGAGTAGGTCTCCAGAGAAACGACAACATCAACTATTGAGAACAAGAGCTCATTAGCTCGTTAAACATATTGTTTCCTAATATGATGAATATGCTGTCGTCATTCATGAAGGAAAGAATTTGAGTCAAGCAATCTTCATGTTACAAATGCACTCCTGATTGAACGACTATTAAGTTATGAACTATATCAAATGAAACTATACATGAATCGTCTAACGTCTTCAAAAACTCCGTCATCTGGCTAAAGAACAACAACACTTGGCGTTTGATACCTTAAGTAGTTAGACAGCCTTAAGAAGCATCAGCTGACGTCAAAGCATAATTGGCTTACAGATACAGATGTGGCAGAGATAGGAACAAAAAGAAGCATTATTGATGTAACAAAGAGCAAACGTCATATACAGTCAGCAGTACAGACAGAACAATTACAAAAGGAAATCTTGAGGAGAGGAGACAGAAAAAATAGATTTCAATCCTCAATATCTCGTTAAGGAAATGAGTGAAACGAGAGCGCCAGTGCTGAGGAACGATCGTAAAAGAGCGAAAGAAGAGAAATGAAAATGAGAACAATACGGATGAAATGAAGTAATGTAATTATAATTAGATGACTAAGCTATACTAACGATACGAAACATTGAATGAGCAAATACATAATTGAAAACAATTACAAATGCAAATGACCGGCTGGTAACAGTTACTCAACAATCGTCATAGACAATCCTCTCACAGATTTCCTTGAATGTCTTTCCTTCTCTGTCTCTGTCGAAATAGAAACATCGAAGATCAACCATTTGTCTGTGTATGTGCATGCAACCGTTCCGTACATTACGTCATAACAAAAATGATCACAGTAGTCGTACTACCTCTCACGTAACGTGCACTCTTCACGTACGTTACGCTAAGTGCACGAGCAAAGGTGTTGAAGCTGATGAGTGTGATGTTTTGATTGAAGCAGCCGATTAAGAATAAATCGTTTACACTCAATATTATTTTAGAATAGAAAAAAACAGATTGACGATAGTGAAACCATGTTTCGGTAAACGAATCGTACAACACCTATCGGAGGTTGCATGCATGCGAAAAGATAAAAGAGATAGATGAGAGGTTGGATAAGCTCAGGATGCTGAGATCGTTGATGATCTTATGGTGACAGCTTTAACGAATTCTTCAATTATATCATTATTTATTTAAGAACTAAAGCGAACATTTATAAAGACGAATAGAGAGAGGATCTTATGTTATTACAAGAGAATACGAGAACATACAAGAAGATGTGGAGAACTGTTGAACGGGAAAGAACAAACAGGCGTTAGGATGAAAACATGCATAACATAATTAGCAAACATAAAGCAGAAAAGACTAGAATAAAGCTTCTTCTTCGAGCTATCAAGCGGGAATATTTTGTTTTTGAAAGATGAAAGATGCAATACAATCTGTTCAGCTCCTTCAATAGTATCTGAACTGGAGACGACACATGAAAAATGAAACAAAGTTGAATGCGAGACTTTGAAATATCTGCAACGTTGTCGGCAATTCAATGTACCGTGTGCCAGAGGATATGAAGTCCGGAAGTCTGAAGCGGAAGAGTATGTCCACTTGTGAAGAACAATGCCGATGATGTGGATTAGCTCGTTGTTGAGTTGTGTCTGAGATGAGCATTACAAATCTCTGATCATTGGGATGTACAAAAGCTTGTGAACACAAGACAAGTCAGCCTGTTTCGTTCAAATGAAACAAAGGGCATGAACGATTCGGATAGGTATGAAGATGAGAATTGAGCTTAAACTTCCGGAATCATGAAATGTCATCAAACGCTCAGTCAACAGCATCAATTCTCCGCCTACTTTTCGTATATACTATGTTATTTCACATCAGCGACATTTTACTCTGTATATCTTTGTGACATCTCTCGCTCTTGCTAGTTGTTGTCCTTTTGAAATCATCTTTTAAAGATCATCGCTGAAAATGAAATCGCCATTAAGAGAGTATACGAATGGAAGAGTGAGTGAGAGATAAACGGAGAGCTTAAAAGAGAATGATTGTGTGAAGAAGGGAAGGGCATAGAATCATCATTGCCATTGCGTTATCCTCCAGGGACAAAATGAAATAAGCACGTGTGTTGTGCGTTCCTCGACACAGCTTAAGCATCACAAATGGCCATTCAGCAAGACTTTTACAATCAAATCCTTACACATCAAAGCAAATATGAAAATTTTGGTGTCATGTAGTGTGTGTAGAACATAGATTACTGAATAAGTGGTAGAGAGGTGGGAAATAACCTGAAAAAATCAATTGTCTTCGTCGCTGTTGACAATAACATGATGGAAATGGTTGTCTATCATATCGATTACCTATGACTCACTTTTCTCAAATCTTTTTCAAATTATTACCCTCAATTAAGACATTATACTTGTTTGCTTGCATTATTTCATAATTGATTATTGATTTACAAAGATGATAATTTCTCAAAAAGTTTTCGCTCTCCCGTCACAAGACGCGAGTGAGAAAAAGCATTTCACGTACATCCCTTTTTGCTTTTTTTTTCAATTCTGTTATATTTAAATCTATTTGAATTCCATCACATAACAATCATTTTGAAGATGGATTATCAATGGTCTGATATAAAACGAGGCAGTGGCAGCTTCGGGACCGTTAGTCAATTATCATAAGACTGATTAATGGCTTGTTGATGTTGAAGGTTTACGTCGGATACTTGGCAACAGGAGAGAAAGTTGCTGTAAAAGTATGTCATCAAAATACTCCTAGTGATGTATGGGAAGCTGAAATTGCTGTGCTGAGTAAGTGTGCCGAAGAACCCAGCATTCCCAACATTGTGCAGGTCCGTACTTGTGTCTTATCCTCATTCTTTCTTCTTTTGCAGATAAGATCATATAGAGCGGGGAGTATAGCTTTGGAATTAGCTGATACAACTCTGGACGATATGATTAAGAACAGCGTTATGAACGTAAGAGGATTGTCGCAAGCCATCATTGGAGATTTGATGCTTGATTTGAGTGAGTTGAGTTGAGACTCCTCTCAATCAGAGTACATCATTTAGCTGTTGCTGTTACTTCCCTTCAAACAAAACAAATTGCTCATCGAGATATCAAACCTGGAAATATTCTTGCCTTCCGTAAGGATAACAGAAAGTAATTCAACTTGAACTTTCTTTTCTAATCAAACCCGTACACAGATCTAAATATCTGTTCAAACTGGGGGATATGGGTACATCGACTGTTAGGAACTCAAACGAAACACTCGTGGGCACTTATCCTTTACTGGTATTTTTCAGATAACTTATTGTCAAACATATTCCTATTTCTTTGAAGGCACCTCCATTTTCAGAAGCTTTAGCTAAGGGAGTAACACCTTTTTCAAAAGTTGAATCAAAGATGACCGGATTCACAATCGATGCTTGGAGTGTTGGATGTACGATATTCTATGCTTCCACAAGTTTGTATCCTTTTCGAGTGGAGGGAAAAATTAATACACATGAGGCTGTGAAGCATATTGAACAAGGTCTGTTAACTATCAAATTGAAATGTGAACGGTTGCTGTTCAGGAGACATTTCTGTGGTTAAGGTAGGGGGTAAGATACAACACTCAAAAACTCTTCCACATCATCGATTCGATAAGCAAGTTTAACACATATGTAGCCTATTTTGATTTGCTTGTAGATTGTACGCTTTCGCAGTAAGCAGATACATTCGTCATTGTCTGGACGTCTATCTAACACCTCTCACTGACGCCGATGCTTCTAAAAGTTTAATGAGAATGATCGGGAGTCGGAAACAAGATTAGAGTGTAGAATGACTTATGATAGTTAAGAAATGCAAAATATGGTTGAAATGAAGTTCGTAGGGCTGAAGAACAGAAGATTTTTCAAATACGCTGACCTTTCGGACGAGCAATACCTCACGTAAGAATTGTTCATGAGGACCTTACTCTATTATCATTACAGGGATTGCCCATCCTTCAAAGAGCTTTCTGAAACGAAAGATCTTTCAAGCATAAAGTTTCTTTCTGAAAATGGAGTGATAGAAGGCGAGAATATCAAGAAACTCAGCACTCTCCCATCAGAGACAGTTCATTTTGTTTTAACTGACTACGAGCCATTGAATGATCCTCGAACCTCGCCTCACAAAGAATGTAAGATCACATGGCTCAACTCATATCTTCTCTTTTCTAGTTGAAATCTTACTCACAAACAAGAAGCAGTGCGCATCTTGGTTTAATTTCTGCAGCAAGGAATTCCATGAATGCCAACAAGAGTTGGAGTTTATGCGCGAGTCTATCAAAGCGATCGAGCGTATCGAGAAAAGGGTTAGTTAGAATACATGGGAGGATCAATTGCAGTCTCTCTTATAGGCTATAAGTGATGGCATGATGATGTATCAATGCAGTGAGAACACAATAAGCATAATAGAAACCTTCAAGTATGTCTGTGCGTCAGCCTTGTTTGCGAGGAACGAAACCGAAGTACGATATATGGTTTAATCTTTTTATCCTTTTCTGCTTTACAGACTCTCCAGTTCTTTGGTTGTTCCAATCTTTACCAGAATCCCCTCAAAGGACAAATAGGTAACCATCATTCCAACTCAGAAAGCTCTTCACGACTTTTCTCATTTCCAGAGACGATGAAGAGATACATAAGTGATTTGAACAAAGCCCAATTGGATTTTGATGAGTATAAACAGTTCCTCGAGAACCTAGATATAAATATAGGTAAATTAACATGTTTATCAGGAAGTTCAAACGCTTGCTTTTCAGATGAACTGAACGAATACCTTCTTCTACCCAGTACTCCTTCCCCTAACAGTTACAGTTCCAATACGACTTACACACAAAAATTAATCAGAACGCTATGTGATAGCATGCGAAGCATATATGAACAGTCAGCAAAACTTCAAAAACAACTGAAAGAGCATGCTAAGTGAGTTTGACTTCGCTAGCTTTGGTATATCAAAGAGAAACTCATAATTTTTCAGGTCTTGTGTGATTATCTTTAACCACATTGCTGAAATTAAAAAAACTCATCAAGAACTGATTAAGTTAGTAGATGAACACCAAGGAAAAGTGAAAGTGAGTTAGCTATCCAGGGGGGTTCAATGACAATGTTCCTTTCAGACCAAATTGGATCAGATTCATGGAGAAATTGCTGTGCTGTCCAAAACGAAACCGTGAGTTTGGAAATGGGCCCACAAGCTTCTTATGCAATGTTTTTAGTGTGGATGTGGAGGTCTTGAAGGGTCTGAATGATATTGCTGAACGATTGAAAGATTTGGTAGTCCAGCAGTGATAGGACGCAAATTGATCGAATCGAACAAACACCCATTAAGAGTTGATCTGTTGAACTCTCCATGAGATTTATTCTTTGTTTATAATTGTAAATAAAACCTTTCACACATACTCTCCTTCTATTTCTATTATTGCAAGGTTTTTCGGTTTCTCAGCCGTCGAATTTCTGAGCGAATAAGATGAATAGCATGAACTAGAAGCTTTTGGACCGAAAATGTCATATGTGAGGAAGTTATTGCCTCCTTTAGTGTCTTCTCTGCGAAAGGTATATCATCTGATTACTTCTTGTAACAGTAATAGTTATTCACAGGGCTCTTGTGGAAAGATAGCCATAATAGGAGGCTCGGAAGAATATACTGGAGCGCCAGTGTTTGCCGCTCTGTCAGCATTACGCCTCGTGAGAAAAGATATTATATGATTAATTATGTATATTTACATTAGGGAGCAGATTTGGTACATATATTTTGCTCACCCAAAGCAATGAATGTAATCAAAACGTTTAGTCCTGATTTCATAGTTCATTCGTATAGTGCCCATAATCTAATGGAGGTTAGCGGAAAGGACCAATTCAATTTTGTTATTTCTTTCAAGAGTTTCGAAAGAATTGATGCTTTTGTTATTGGCCCTGGCTTGGGAAGGGGAACATACTGTCCACTTAACAGTGATGAGAAAGCTGGTGAGCAACTATCAGTAGGACTATTGGTGGAAAAGGTTTTGGAGTATGCGAAAGAAAATAATAAGCCGATTGTTTTGGATGGGGTAGACAAAGACATAAAGCGCCAATCTTCACCTCACTATTTCAGGATGCTCTATGGTTTGTGAGCCAGAATCCGGATAGGTTCAAGAATTCAAACCTCACTGTTCTGACACCAAATATAGTGGAGTTCTCTCGCCTGGCATCTTCTGTTCTTGATGTTCACAATGTGCTCCAATTAGATAAAGAGAATTTGCCAGGCTTGTGCTGCTCTCTCTCTGAAAAAATGGGAACTACGATTTTCCTGAAAGGAGAAACAGATATCGTAGCCAGCACGAATGGAACATGTTAGTTTCGATGAGAGGATAACTCAAAATTTATCATTTTATTTCATTTATAGTTCGACTTTTGCATGAGGAAGGAAGTCCTAGACGTTGTGGTGGGCAAGGTGACACTGTTGCTGGCACATTGGGCGTTTTCTTGCTATGGGCTCTTAGGTGAAGCAGATTAGACTCCTAAACTCAAAATTCCTTATAGATCTATAAATGATAAATCAGAAGCAAAAATTGCAGCCGCACTGGCTAGTAGTCAGATCGTGAAGCTCTGCGCTGTGGAAGCCTTCCGAAAACTTGGGCGTTCCATGATAACGTCCGATTTAATTCAAGAACTCCCTTATGTATTGAAGAAGTTGGATGAAGACCTTAAGAAGAATGCAACCGATATGTGCGATTGATTGAAAGAAATAAATATATTTATGAAAAGTATAAAACTGGTAGTATAGGAATGGATTGTGACTGTGATAGGGTTACTCGGACTGCATTTCTTCTCCAATCGGAGGCACATCAGATTCTTCATCCTCCTGCTTCAATGACCGTGGAAGGAAATCTCGTTCAGGCCACAGAGAAGAGAAAATTCGTTGTGCCTATAAAGCGATAGAGATGATATTTCAAAACATGTCTCTTATGTCACTTCTGATATGACTGTAGCAAAATCGAGGGAATGGTCTGGTCCAGACACTTCAGTGACATTTTCTGGCAACTTATCATGGTTGACAGATGTTAAAATAGAAAAGTATAAACTCCATAGTGGCTTTGGACCTGAAGAATGATTGGAAACTCATTGCTGCTCAAAGGCACGGATACCTTCTCCTTCTTCGCTGGCCAATATTTTTTTCTCAACTTCTTTCAGCTTCTCCATAGAACCTTTTCCGGTGAAGTTGGATAAATCTGAACTAAATAGTAATTTTAACACAAAGCTCTCTTACAGTATCCCTTAGGTGCTGCACAAACTTCAAAGCCGTTTTCGAAATATCGAACACAAGCCTCAGATTCTATAGATGAAAGATTGACCAGGGAAACCTGAAGTGACTGTGATATGGTGGAGCCAAAGACAAATACGTACATGTTCTTTATTCTCCTCGAAAACAGATTCCTTGGTAATGTGAACGGACCTATGGATATAAGATTTCTCTGAGTCATTACTCGATTTTGGGCTGTATTTAGGAGACATTATGACTTGAGTACATCTGACAGCTTGACCATCAGCTATTACACCCACACACCTCAAGCATATCGTGTATGAATGAAAGATAGAGCTTAGCTCACTTGTCATCTTTGTAAATCAAAGCTTCAATACGCCGTCCTAAGCAATATAAACCACCAAACACAGCACAAAGACTGAAAATAGAAAAAAATAATATCATTGAAGAGATATGGAGAATCACCGGCAAAAACATTGCGACAATTCGCCGCACCCGTACAGAGGAGTGAGGAAAGGAGAAGTTCCGAAACGTCCAACTGAGTCAATAAATTTGCAGACAGCTGTGAGACCCTATTAAGATATTCGGAATCATCAAAAAAATATAACAGACTTCTTTCGTATTTGCGTTAGGATGAAGAATACCGATCGCATCAGCAACATACTGTTGAAGTGTGCCTGTTATGCCCATCGTGTTTAGGAACTCTGAGAAGCTTTTATCTTGATAATCTGAAAAAAAATATTACTAGTTCCAAGTACTAGCTTCCAAGTTACTTTGCCAATCGTTGAGAGAGTCTGCGTTGGTGTTCCATTGAAGACAGTAAGTCAAGAACTTCATCAACCTTCGTTTATCAATCATGCTATGAAGATTACAAAATGCAATTGGTGTCAGTAATTTTCGCTTACTTCAACTTGTCATCCACGAAGATGTCACCCTTTGAACAAGGTACTCGGCTATAAGCTTCAGTTTTCGGTGCGTTTTGATCAAAGCATAGGAAACGATCAACACATTTGAATTCTGCATATTTGGCCACCTTCATTTCATCGATGAGTTCAAAATGATACAACAAACTACCTCGGAATCGCATAGAGTTTGCACCATTGGTCCTCGAGCCAGAAGTACCTTAGGTACCATATCAATGCTGAACTTCCTCCATTCCTTCTCTTGTAAGAACTCCTTGTGAGTCATTTGCATAGTTTCATCTTTTACTTTTACTTCAGTTGTCTCTTCACTTCAAAGTATATGTTCATTCGAAGTATCTATGAGATGGGGAACCTTGCGTCATTCCAGGACGTTTGAATATTAGCAATCGTATTTCTCTCAACTATTTGGACAAGAGTCTCCCCATCAGATAAAAGTTTTTCATATTCTGGTTCGAGCACGTCACTCTTTTCCTGATGAAAGCATGAGCTCAAGCTCTTTGTTTCATGCTAAACAAACCTCACTGTTAACCGTAAGCCATTCATTTATGGATCGTAGATTGAAAGAGGACCAATCACCGCCATAGAACTCCGTTCTTAAGAAATTTTCACTATGATAAGTTTATAAGAATATCACCTGTCAAGATGTAGAACTGATAAGCCTGATCTAGAGCAGGCAGCCGCAATAACTGATTCTAGTAAACCGGTACCCAGAACTATGACATCTACAGACTCTGGCAGCTTTTCCATAATAACTAAATGAAAGTACTAAACATATCCCGACAGAGTGAAGAAGTATTGAATAGTTGAGAACTGGAGGTAATGTAAACACGTCTGTTCTAATGATTTTACCTATGAAAGCACGATTAAGTAATATACACAACAATTACATATTATAGACATTACAATCAATCCGTTGAACTAATCGCTTGTTATTCATTGTCGGTGAAAGTTTTAAAATTTGTATCCCTGAACCATCGACTAGGCTGAATTCTTTCGTAGTAGAGTAAATATGCTTGAGCTTGAGCAACTTGAGAATATGGTACACGTGTAACCTGCAAGAAAATAATTGAATGAGCTGAAATATGAAGCTGATAGTTGTTCATCTGGTAGACACAATCAAATTTCATAATTTTGATGAGTCATTCATTCACATCCAATCATTTGTTGACACTGCTTACTTTTGCATCATTTGTCAAGTACCAGCTATGTATATCCTGAATACCACGCCGAAACGTCACAAAATGACCAGTTTCCGGAACTCCTCTATGCTCAGAAACAGCTCGCAACTGGTACCGGTACCGAGCAGCTTCTTTGCGCTCAGACATGAAAGATCCACCGCTGAAATAAAAAAAAACATTTTTCCCATGATAAAATCAGTATAAATATAAATAATTGTTTTATAAAGCTCGAAGTCCGGTTCCTCAGTTTGATATACGTGAATAATCTTCGAGAATCAACATTCTCCGTTCTTTGCTCTCATTCAACACCTCGAAGGTGTTAATCATATGGTGAAATATTGCGATCCAGACTCATCAAGACCAAAATTCAATTCCAGATTTCTCAAATTCTTTCGCGACTTTTTTTCGCTGAAGTTCCATTTGTTTCAACCTTTCAAAGGCTTCGCATTCACAGAGATGGTTAGTGGTCAGCATCCTTCCCTTTGTTCATTAATCAACAAGCTCGTAAATACATGGCTTCCGTGTAAACAGTGCCGAAGGAATGCGGTAGCCATCCAAATCACCAAGTGGTGAACACCAAAAAAACTAGCTACAACACTACGACAAAACCTGACTAATTGTGCTCAACACACAATTCAAAAAAATTTTGAGTCTGAACGATCTCCAGGAATTAAGACGCAATATCGGAACTCCGTTCAAGTTGAATTGAGAACCTAAGAATGGAAACTACCTCTGCTCTCATTGAATTACAACCTATTCAGGTGCAAGCCGTGCTCGCTCAGATTACACATTTGTACACATTTTTCACGTATAAAGAGAAACACGTCCATGAATGTCAATGAAGAATATCTCGAAGAAAACAGGAAACACGGTCGCGCGAGTTCGTTTCAAAATCAACAGTAGTTGCGTGCAAGACTTAAAGCGCGAATTGACAGGCTACTAGTCACTAGGCAACACTTTGTGTATCTATGACAAACAATCTACATTAGTTGATCGTAGACTGCGTGAATTCAATTCTTGCTCAAACGTCTTATTAATATTGAAATTATGAGCAGGAAGTAGGAATATTTTGAAAAAAATCAAGACGTACTCTATAGTTCCATATTGAGTCATGAGACCGGGATCAACACGACCACGAGAAACATCGTTGAATTCCCGACCACCGCCAACGATACGTGATGTAGATTCTGGGGTACGAGGTTCTGAGCATGAACTCCTATACGATGCCATTCGATCATAATCTCTCTGTAAGAAAAAATTTCAAAAAAAGTTCACGTAGAATCTTCAGACTTGCACCTATTTGCACAGTGATGTGGACAAAGGTACAAGACTAAATGAATAGAAACACAAAACAAATAACAATTTCAAGAGCTTGTTCCACAGATCAAAACACTAGTTCTCATAACAAAATTTTCGAGCTTAAAGTTTAGTAGAGCTGACAACAAGCGACAAGATGATTGTGGAACAAGGTTTTAGAGAGGTATAACACTTGTGTGATATGTGACCGTACACAAACTAAAATTACCTTATTATTTTTGTTGAAGATCAAGTCTCTCACATCCAAAGTTTCACCAAAACCGACATGGTCACTAACTTTGAATGTTTGGCCTGAGGGGAGTACACCAACTCGTTCAATACGAATCAGTAGGCACTGTGGTAACTGAAAATTATAGTTGTACGATTAAAATGCAATGTTTACATTCTCTCTCTCCTAATGAATCTTTGAGTAGTTCTTTTCTCGACATTAACGTTTTTGCCAACACAAACTCAAAATGGATCTCGGCATAAAAAATCAAGAGTGGTTTCCATTGCCTAACCGTAGTCCGGTATACGTCGGAACCGGTCTTCAGGTGAGAACACGCGCCGGTTGTCGAGAGGAAGAGAAGGGCCTGCCACGCCTCTCAGATTCAGACAGTATATAAAAGGAACAGCTTCAGTCCAAGAATCATCCTTCCTAGCTTACTTCGGTTCCAAGCAAAATGCAATTAGGCTACACGGCATTCATCCTTGCTTGCTCTTTCTTACTCGCTTCTGTAAGTTTCTGTCCTAACTGCCAGTATTCAGTGAAATCATTTTTAGGGAAATGTTCTGAGAGAGAAAAGACAATGTGGTTGCGCACCACCAGTTCAAGCTTCTTGCTCTTGTGCTCCAGCTGCTACTCAGCAACAAATGTCCTGCAACTGCCAACAACAACAAGCTCCAGTTTTCACTACTACTGCTGCTCCAGTGTGCGCATGCGCTCCACAAGCCCAACAGCCACAGACTGTCACCCTCGAAGTAATTTCTACTAGAAATACAATCAACTAACGAATTTGCACTTTTAGATCCAAACTACTCAATGCCAACCAGCTTGCCAACAATCCTGCACCCAACAGTGCAACACTCCTGCTGCCTCTAACTCTTGCCAGCAAGACTGCCAACAGAGTTGCCAAAGCACCTGTGTTCCAGTACAGCAAGCCCCACCAGTCCAACAAACTCCACAATGCCAACCAGCTTGTCAACAACAGTGCCAACAAGCTTGCGTCCAGCAACAACAGCCAGTAGCTCAATGCCAACCCCAATGCCAGCAACAGTGTCAAACTATGTGTGATCAACCTCAACAACAACAACAGATCATCCAAGTTCAACAAACCCAGAACGCTTGCCAGCCACAATGCCAAGATCAATGCCAGCAATCTTGCGTTCAACAAAATCAACCTGCTGCTCAATGTCAACCACAATGCCAACAACAGTGCCAGAGCATCTGCCAATCCGCCCCAGTAGCCACCCCAGCCCCAGTCCAATGTCAACCAGCTTGCCAGCCAGCCTGTGATAGCCAATGCGTTCAGCAACAACAACCAGCTCAACAAACTCAGACTATCACTTTCCAGGTCAGATTTGCATCTCATATTTTTAATACTTTTGATTCATTACAGATCACCGTACCAGTTGCTCAACAAGACGCTCAGTGCATGCCTCAATGCCAGCAACAATGCAACAACGCCTGTGCTCAGCAAAACCAACCTGTAGCTCAATGCCAACCAGCTTGCGCTGACCAGTGCGCTCAGAACTGCCAACAAGTCCATGCTCCTCAACAACAACAGTGCCAACCAGCTTGCCAGCCAGCTTGTGAACCAACCTGTGTTGCTCAAGCCCCAGCAGTTCAAAGAGATACCCAATGCGTCCAGCAATGCCACGATGCTTGTGCTCCAGCTCAGCCTGCTCAACAATGCAACCAATGCCAAAGCGCTTGCGCTGCCCAAACCCCAACCCAAGCCACTCCAGTAGTTCAGGTAATATATCCGAGTATCAAACATTTCAAACAAGAGATTTAGGTTGTCCTCCAATCCGCCATCGCTCAATCCACCCAATGCCAACCTATGTGCCAACAAGCTTGCCAACAGCAATGCGTCCAGCAACAACAGCCAGCTGCTCAATGTGAACCAGCATGCCAGCAGAGCTGCTCAAACTCCTGTGCTGCTGCTCAACCAGCTACTGTAGCTTGTCAACCATCATCCAACCAGGTACTGTTTGAACCAAAGAAATAATAATCCAACATAATAACGTAGGGATGCCAATGCCAACAGAACTACTCCCCATGTGGTAACGGTCAATGCTGCCGTCGTAAGTAAATAGGAAACAACGAACCACGACAACTGAGAGGATAACCCTCTTTATATGTACATAAAGTTCAAGTGATTATGTAACGCTGCTCACTACTTTTAAAAATAAACTTTTTCAATCATCTCCTCGCTTTTTTATTTCTGAAAGATCAACTAACTTTGCTAAATCCTTGTTTTTTGTACAATCCACTATCTATTTTACCATTTCTTTCTTTACAACGATCACAGGTAGCTCCTCGTATAACTTCAGCGAGGAAATATCTGCGTAACAAATATTCCAAGGTAGTGGACTGAAAAATTCTTCTTTTTGAAAAGGATGAATACACTTATACTAACCGATCCCGCACTATCTCTAGGAATGGATACCGATAAACCGCCAATAGCATCATATCTAATTTTCTGGAAAAGAAAACAGTATACTGTAAAACTATAAGTACAACCTTGAAACGACAAGTGGGAACATTGCACCGCAACTCAGTAGCAGTTAAACCGAACGTAGGAGGTTTCAGTTTCGCATCTGATCGAACAATGTCAGCGCACCTTCAATAAAAACATCATCACAAAACAAACACGAACGATTTCAATCATAGCAGCCGACTCTTGCGCGCGTCAAACGAAAATGAAATTTTGAAGCGGCGTCACCCCTACTAATTAGCATAACGTGAACTCACCGTTTGAACATCAATCTTCTACGGGAAATTGGGTTCAAGCTTTGACTGTCTGATGAAGTTAACTGAAGAAAGGAGATAACTCATGTTTCGAAACAACAATTACCTCATTGAGATCTAGTAGAGATACATCCATCAAACGTTTTTTCAATAAACCTAGTTCTTTTTCCCAAGTAGAAACGAAAACATTGAAAAGTTCGTATAAATCATGCTCGGCTCCTATAAGTCAAGAGCAGCGATGACCCGTCTTAGGAAACTTGAAACTACCGAAAGCTATGTTCCACTTATGTTTCATCAAAGCAGAACTGATACCACCAGCATTGAATGTAAATTGAGAACGAGTATTCAATTCTGAAACATAATGTATGCGATGGGTGAATGTGATGGGATGATTACTGATTATGAGGTCTTTGAGCTCATCTAAAAATCCTCCCTGCAATCCACTCTCTTTCGTATCAATAGAATCGAGCCATTTTACAACAGAAGGTAAACTGAACAAGAGTTAGTACTGTTACAGCAATCAAGTAGAACTCACCCCGCTAAGCCTTGTAACAAGGAATTTGCATAACACGTGTTGCCTAAGTTGTGCAACCCAGGAATGGTAAGTTTCCCTGATCCTTTTAAGCAACATAAGTAAGATCAAAAAACAGTAATAGTTACCTAATTTGATATTCGAGCTTGTAAAATAAAAATAAACTGCAGCTGATGCTAAAGAGCACCCTAATAAGGTTGTAGTCGCGAGAACCTGAATGATTGGTTAATATGACAAAGTATAAGGACTCAGCCCACTTTATTTTCAAAAAAACCTCCTAAGCTATTCGAAGATGGGATATCCCATCCTTTTCCAGGGATGTAAGTCATATGAATTACATAAACGATGAAGCATAAAGCATAATAAATGAGTATAGCCGATAGCTTATATCAAATTAAGTGCTTGCGCGTATGCTGTGTTGGCGTATTGCTAGTGTCTGTGAAGCTTCGTTAAAGAGATGTTTATTCAATAATATGCACAATATTAATAAATCGCATTCAATTAAGTTTCAATTTCCTCTTAATATCCAACAGCTGGTCAGTCTTGATGGCTCTGTTATACTCAGCAACGACTCTGCAAAGAGATAATAAGTATTACATGAAAGGAAAAACCGCACCTCGAGCTTTTTGGAATTAAGCCGCCCTTCACTGCGATGGCAAATTCTTCATCGCTTAACTTTGAAGTATCAACGAACTTAACTGCTCCTTTACGTGGCGTATATCCTACGCGAGATTGTTCTAAAGAATGAGAGAGAGAAATGAAGTGCAACTGCTTTCTCATTACTTGAATTGGATTTTAAAGATTTTGGAGTACTCAGGAATTCCAGACGTCTATTTTGAATAGGAATTGTCAGTTGTAAGGCTTTGGTTAGTTGTTTGACGTCAGGTTTGTTTCCTCCTCTTTCTTGATTAGTATGGACTGAATTACTCTTAGCAGTAAACTTCACAGATGTTTTCTGAAAAGACAGTAATGACTTCCCCCATTGACCCTTATCAGTTGAATTACATTTTGCACAGATTTGATGTCTTTAGCGGGAACGTTGCCAAATTTGAAAGTGTTCAAATCAATTTTCTTCAAAGGATCAACATTGCTCAAAGCGTTTCTAAAAGGATCAATTAGCTTGAACGATGAAGTCATTTACAACTTTGGTTGTTTCTCTACGGTTTTCGAGTTTCTCTCTACGTTTGGCAATCGACTTCGTACAACTTTGGCCGACTTAGGAGTGGCCAATCTCTGAAAGATGCAATAAGTTTTCTTGAGCAGCAAACAGAAGAACAAGTACTTTGACAAAATCTGGAACTTGGGCGGTCATATCGTCATGTCTCGCTTTTATTTTGTCTTTGTAGTCGGCAATTGTTTCCATTTTCTCGAATTCCTTGGCGTGTTGTTGCGTAAAGCGAGCGGGTCCTTTGCTTCCTAGATGAAATGAAAAAAGTTCTCCGGTTTTCTGTCAAGACAACGAACCTTTTTTTATCGCCTTCGAAGCAGAAGACAAGCCGAGAACGGAACTGTTTGTTAGTTTTTTGCTCGCTCGACGATCGGGAGTTCTAAACAATCACATGAAGAAAGAAGCTCACACACTCTTACTCACTTATTAGTATTGATAGACTTATTAATAGATTTCCTTTTCTCGGAAGCAGGAGTGCATACCTTGATGGATCCTAACAGAGGCTGAGAGACTACATGTTTCTGTGTTAAATTCGGAAATTCTCACCGTTCTCGATTGTTTTCTCATCTTCTTCTTCAATAAACCTTTGAGCTCAACACTGTAATCACAGTAAGAGTAACGGCGATAAACCAATCAAACACTCACGTCTCTAGTACTGGTTCGGTAATCTGAACTCTCTTCGTCTCCTCTACTGCTACAGGTACAAAATCATCTGAAGAAACAGGTGATAACGAAGATGAGGGGGACTTGCCATCATCAGAAAGAAACTCAGATTCTTCCATTGTGTCAACTTCTTCACGAACCGATGGTGGCGTTTTTGTTTTTCGTTTCTCTGACCCCAACTTTGACTTGCTAACAAGTGGCGTTTTAGGTGTAGGTGCCGTTGATCTTGGAGTGGAGCTTTTTCTCTTTTTTTTAGCAGACACCGACAACTTTCTGATAGGGGTTTTCGAAACGATTGGCGATATTTCAACTACGGAGTCATTCGATAAGAATGAGGCTTCATCTACATAGTTCACTTTCGGCTCATCATTCTCATTCTCATTCTCATTTTCGCTTTTCGCTTTTGGTTCATCATCTACCATCTGCTCATCCTCATGTAGTTTTCGTGAGTTCTCTACTTCCTCAACATCGTTAGTAATTATTATGGTTTCCTTGCTCTGTTCGGCAAGCTCTTCTGCAAAATTAAAACGGTGGTTCGATACTTTACAACATCGATACCTGTCTCTTCATCATCAAGGATCTCAGCATTCAAAACCTACAAGAGATGCTAAAGATAGAAGACAAGAGCTATTTTAACATACACGAGCCAGGCGTTCGATTAATTCCACTTTCTTTCCAACTTTGGACAGCCTTCTCTTTCCAAGCTCTTTCTGTAAGGCGACCACTTTCAAGTCCTTCAGCTTTTTTCCCGATGGAAGACAAACATTTTCCATGCTAGAAAAGATTACAAAAATCTCGTTATGACAAGAGAAATAGCTTTTTCATGAAAAGCTTAGTAAAGAGCTCAACAGTTGAGTTTCTAAAATAGGAATATTCGAAAAACAAAATACTGACTGTAGGCGTCCAAAATTTGCAATTCGCGCCAATTTGGATGGAAGCTCACGTCAAAGCAAAAATACCATACGCAACTGTTTTTTCTGATTTTTTTCAAAAATATTAAATTTTAAGCAAAATATTTATGTGTGAAACGGAGTAGTTAATTGAAATAGGATTATAATAGAATGCCGTAAGTTTGCATCATCATTATGCTCAACCGTTTTACCTCTTTGATCAGATCTGAAAACAATAGAAACTGTGCCATCTGTGCCAAAGACTTTGCTAGTAAATCTGCTTTACATCACCATGTTCTGAAACATTTAGGCTACAGGTTGGAAATATTTTTGATGTGATATCATTTCTGTGCTTTGAAGGAGATACTCTTGCTCATCATGTAGCACCTGCTTTTATACGGAAGAGGAGAGAGAGGAACACTGTAGAGAGACTTCACACATAAATATGTTTGAGGCAAATTCTTTCCATTCCTATTTGTCTAATCGGAACATGTTCAGATGAAAATCAATCAGTACAATGAAATGTTAGTTAAACAAGTACTGAGAGATATAGATGTTTCTGCCAAGTTTGACCTTGATTTTGTCATTCGGGAGCGAGCTCGAGCAGCTCTGACCTAGTAATCCTTATTTTCTTCCATTCAATCTTCAGCATTCCATTTTTTTAGTGAAAAAGCAGTTGAGGACTCGCCACCGCCTGTGATGAAACGTTCACAACCCTCTTTTTCTAGTCCTAGCTCAACTAACCGTTCAATTACCAGGTCAGTTTTGCTAACACAAGGGAAAACCTTTAGAAGTTCAAGATGTTCACCAGCTCCAGCTGATCCTTCTAGTGATAACAACGAGTCTCCTCCAAGAAAGAGGAAAACAAGTGTTCGAACGCCAGAACCCAGAAAATCGAACTCTGCCTCTGAAAGTAACACAACTGCCGACGAATTCGATAGAATACCGGTATGGTTCTCTCTATGGAAGGACTTTCAATCTCTTTTTAAGACTGCGGAAGGAATAACCGCATCAGAGTTAGTTGACTTGTCTCTGACTTCAAAAACAGAGAAAATACGTTGTAAACTATGCAGAACCAGAGTAGAATCCTCATATGGTAGCTTCAGCCCATCTCTGTTAGTAATAACAACATTCTTTTAGTAACCAGAAAAAACCACGTATCTCTTCTTCATATGCCCAACAATCATAATGAAACCGATTATGTTGATATACTCGAACACAAGGTAGTAGTATTATATTCTTACTGTTCGTGATATCCGCCTTCAGATGCAAGAAGCTTTCCCAGGATCTCCGTACAGTGATTATCAGTGTCAATTCCCAAACTGTTTCAAAATTTATAAATCTCAAAGCAGTCGAAGATCGCACGTTTTGTCATGCCATTTTAACTGCCAAATCGAGTGTCCGATGGAAGAGTGCTGTGCTGTGTTCACCGATGCTTTTAAAGCCCATACTCACCTAAAGGTAAAGAATCACTTATGTACCTCTTTGATAAATTACTTGCAGGTTGAGCATAAATTGGTTGACGGAGCCAAATCCATGAAAAACACTGTTTTGAAGTTTGATAAAGTTTTTGTCCTGCTAATAAGTTATCCGTTCAGATATAAGTTTGAATATGAGAAGAGGGCTCATAACTCGAAACTTGAGCAGACCGTTCGTCAAGCATTCCCTTGTCCGATTCCCGTTCTTTCAAAGGTTTCTTTCTGCATGATTTTTTTTTTCGAAATGGTGTCGTTAGGGCTCAGATAAAGATGTTGGTAAAGATTCCATTATCAGAGATGGTCCAGACAGATTGTTTGAAGTTGTTCCTTATGCTGAACATTTGTATCTCATGTTTTGCAGAGACTCCCGCCAGCTCCAAGACGTGCACGATCATCGTCTTCTTCAGGTTCTGAAGAATCACCTCTCAAAACACCTCTGGTCAGTATCATATGAGTTATACAGGACCTTCAGTTGTTTGCAGGGTTCCTCTACGCCAAAACGAGATTCAGTCACTGAAAACGTACACGCTTTCCCTCAGTAACGATGAGATCATTTTTATTTTTTCCAGAGAAAAGAATTTCGAAAATTAGAGACCGAATTGAAACAAGCGAACAATAGCTGCCACAGCGAGAGTCCAACTCCTGCTTCTTTGAAAGCAGATAAAAAAAGTTCGAAATCAGACAAGAAAAGAACAAATGAAAATCAGAACGGAACAGAAGGAGGAACAGGCTTGAAAAGAGTCAAATTAGAGGTTTTGATTTCCAATCTATATACCTTCCAACTCTTTATTGTCAGCCTGGGTTAGCAGAGAATGGACATGAAGAGTCTTCCCACGTTGGCAGCTTAGTGTCGGATTTCAAAGAGGTTGATGATCCTGTAACGTTTTGTCTGTTTTCTTATTGAATTTCAATGTTTTAAGGATAACCAGGATTCGAAAAGCCATGAAAGTGGCAAGGCAGAAATAGCTAACTCGGACTTCCAATACGAATCCAAGAAGAGAAAGCCATTACTTGCTACTCCACCCTGCACCAAGAAATTGAGCGGCAGTCCAACGGTTACTTTCAGATTCACTCCCAAATACACAAGCTTGACTAATAGTATTCTCAAACATGTGTCTAACCACAAAAGTTGTTGATTTTTTCCATTTCTATGTATAAAAAATTTTATTATTCTGGTCTCTCTACAATTTTAAATTTTCTGATTCCCCTGAGGTAGTCGGGCGGACTCCTATGCCTCCCTAATGCTCTTTGCTGCTGGTGAATTTCATGAAGATGTCTCATTACTGCTGATGAGAAGTAAGGATGAGCTGTTACACTCTCTGTTTTGGGTCTTGAAGGTCTCCTACGTACTGCTGACTTTTGATTATTGGGTATCGATGCAAAATTCCACTGCTGAGTTGGATCGGGAACGTAGGCTACGTTCCATTGGTTCTGTTCGTGAGCGGCAGGAGTATTCACTTTCTGAGAAGGGAACGATTGAATTAAAGCCTGGGTGGCAGCAGGGGGCACATAAGGAGTTTCAGTTGTCGTCTTACAGCAGTAGTAGAAACTATCCAATGCTTTGCGACACTTTCCTTCTGGACAAGTGTTATCATCCAAACTCTGAACGTCAGTATAATATAGGTGTCAGAGCTGTAGAACTTACTCTACAACGTATTGGACCATTATCATCAGCCAGAGCTTCCATACAAACTTGAGTTGTGAGAGCATGTGGACAGCAAGAATGAGTTCCATCCATGAGAAGGGAGCAAGACATTTCAGCAGGACAAGACATGGGATTGGAAGGTGCACATCTGAAACCGTAAGTAGTTACATATAAAATGATAGTGATTATAGAAACATCATCGGTCTTTTTGTGTTCTCATCAATCATTGGTTGAGAGCCATCACTGCATGTGAACACATCAACGGAGTGACAGCAGAAGAACATGACATCAATGGCGTTGGTTATCGCTGAGTTATCTTCAAGAGCAGGCAAGCATGAGGTCGAATGGGGGCAAGTACCATCTCCTTCAAATAAAATACAAAATATTAAAGAGGTTCTTGCATTGACCAACCCGGGAAGCATCGCTTCGGCCGTTTTGATTCCATGTCGACATAGGGGACAAGGCACTTCCGTTCAGGCTTACAACATAGATGACGAGCTCCTCCTAAAGTTGAACCTATAACAAATGCAACATTGAGATGAAACCAATTATAAACCTTCTCCAGGAACACACATATGATCAGGGGGACATCCACCTTCAACTCCAATCGAGCAAACACGCGGTCGCCCTCCTTCAATAACATGAAGATTAGAAAAGTGATATTTTTTTTAGGTACCATCTTCTCTCAAGGATATCATTCCAGAAGGACATGAAAGTGGTTTTGTACAACAGATGTGCTCCTAAAGATATAAATGTAACATATCTTTACTCATACAACTATACATTACCAAATTTTTAGCTTGTTGGCACGTGTACTGTTCTGGACAAGCTTCTGTTCTTCCGGGGTTGCAGCGAACTGCTCGATTATCCTGAAACGAGATATCTTGGTTAAATGGAAAATCTCAGCAAGTCAACCTTGATGAGCACAAGTGATTCGGCAGCAGGACACAATGGCTCGGTTTTGCAGCATATTGAAGCAAATGGAGAACTAATAATTTTGTAACAGAGTGAGAACCAAGAAATACCTTTTCAGACACTCATAGCCGAGAGGACAGCCAGAGTTTTGTTTGTGATCACAGAGCTGAGGCTGGTTCGTTAGTGGATTCAAGTGAGTTTCGAAATCGTTAGGGCATGTTCCTATATACAACATATACGCCAATAGCTATAGCGATAACCATACCAACACAATAGTCCAAGCATTGCTCTTGGTTCGCGAATGAGTTCCATTGATCTTCACAAACACCTTGTACAGCCTGAAGTTGTTATCGTATGACTATTGATTCTATTTGAGAAACATCTCTTCTGGACTGCTTACTTGAGAAGAATTACAGAGTCATCAGTGAAAAGACGTATAAGAAGCACTTTGTCTCACCTTACTACATCCACCTTTCCGGAAGTCGAATGTCCACAAAGGTTCAGAATCTGGCCCCATTTGTCTACGACATGAGTGTTTAGACTCCAAAGGCGTCCCACAAACGAATTCTACACACATATATCAATAATACGGAAGAGTTTCACTCACTAACCTTTACTTGGGCAGCATGCACCTTTCTTCCCCTGTTTTGCAGTACATGTATAATTCCTAGGACAGTGCTTGTCTTCCATGCATGAGGCGATTTGATTGATTGAATATCTATCAGGATGAGGATCACCTTTGGAACAGATAACTATAAACGTTCAAGTATGAATAGGAATTCTGGCCGTTAACGAACCTTCACTACTACAGAACTTCAGGCATTCACCCTTTGAGTTGAAATTATTTTCGTTTCCTCCGCATCCTGTGAAGGCAAATGAACGGCACGTTTTTGATGCAGCATCGAAGTAATATCTGAAATCAGGGCATAGACCGGGGAAATTTGAAGAAGAGCAACCTTGTAACTGGAGGAACACCACAAGGTGAACCAGCATGAACTGAGGATTGACATATTCTATCTGGACCACACATGGAAGACATGAGCGATAAGAACAATAAACAAACCAGCTTTTTGACAACAGACGCTGTTCATCCCATGCCCCACGCAGTAGTGTGATCCTGGACAAGGTACTCTGTCACCTTCACATCTTTTGATATTTCCAGCAAAATCCATTAAAGGCATTCCTTTCCCGCATAAGGCTAAATGTCAATGAATCTTATTTTTAGAATCAGGTTGAAGTGTAACTTAAACTTCGGCATCCGTCCATGCAGTCTTCTTTGGTTGGGAACCGATTCTGATTGCCTCCACATCCTTTGAACATGAATTCTATGCATTCTCCTGTAAATTAGTTTTGTATCGCTTATTGAATATTGATATACCTATAGAAGCATCGAAATGGTATGCAGAATGAGGAGATGATACTCCACACTCGTACCCTTCATTTTTTGGTTGACGACATAATATACCTGAAAACGGGAATGATGAGACGACAGCAGGAGCAAATACACTTCGCTAGCTCCGCTCATTTTTTTTTCAACTAGGAATATAACACTTGAAAAAGGTGTTGTGACCCACTTGACTTGTTTTGAAAATTGTTGTTAAGGGGAGAAATGCGAAATTAAAAAAGAGAACCGACCTCCTAGTTCATTAACAGCACTCAAGATTGGCAAAAAGTGCGAGAAAAGTAAGATTCTCATGATAGGAGAACCTGCCATTGCGGCGAATATGCCTACGGAAGCTTTCGGGCTTTAAGAGATACAGAGGATATATGAAAAGAAACCTATTTCTGTCAATGACAAGGAAAGAAAAGAAAGCAAAGCGTTTTGCCTGCTCCTCACATTGCAAAGTCATTTTTCTCTGTGTACCTCACTCTCTATTCCTTTACTGACTCTTACCGGGAATGTCCATGTTTGTGCTCTCTCAAGTAAATCTATACCGTTCATTTATCTCTAAACTGACCACGAGTTTGAGACGAAGTGCAGAGAAGAAGCACCCCCTATTTGCTCTCTTATGATGACCACGGCTAGCGATAGCGTTCTCTGACTGACTGTCTGATATAGCCAGTACAAAACAACGTGATGAGAGGCAAGAGACAGAGAAACAGAACAAATCTAACGTCTTCCTCATTGAAATCGTTGATCTTGTCGTATGCTATTGCTCTGTTACCAGCACTTATGTATCTATTATAAGGGAAATAAGATTTCTGTAATTAGGACATTCATCTGTTTGTTTGAACTCCGTTGAAGTTCTCTAGTACTTCAACAGTATCAATAAATCATGTATTAATAAAGAAAGAAGACGATTCCATGGTCAACCGTGAACGTCTTCCAGTTTATACTATCCTGTATTCTTCTTAGAGGTAGAGAGAGGTCAACATTCGAAAAAAAGAGCGAAAACAACCATCCTTCTCTCGCCTCTCAGGAGGTTACAGCAGTGGAATAGAAAATAGAAAACAGCACAAAAATTAATTAACGCTTTCCTTTATAGTTGGCCGGGCTCGCCCAGGCTTGAGCTCGGCTCGAGCTTGGGTTGAGGTCATTTAATATTCGAACTCTTGACTCAAAAGATTTTGAAATGATTCGAGCTCTTCATTTTAAAAGATTTTGTAATTTTTCTTGATATTCAAATCATTCTAGGTATTCCAATTATTCGAGGATAGAAATGATTCGAGTTCTTCATTTGAAATTGTATTGAAGTTATTTATGCATATTGAAAAATGCTAAACGGAAATTGAACATTACGTGGTTCTTCGTTTCCTATTTTTCCTATTTTTTTCTACCGTTTCCTATTTTTAATTACACGTCGATAAATAAATCGATTTATCGATGACATCTTTTTTGTTCTTATTGTTTTAAAATGATTTTAAAAATATTCGGGCCTAGGCTCGAGCTCGGCCCGACGGGCTATAGAGACGAGCTCGAGCCGAGCCCAGGCTCGAGCTCGGCTCGAGGTTGTTTTTGTCACTCGAGCTTTGTAAAATATTCGAGCCTAGGCTCGAGCTCGGGTCGAGCTCGCGAGCCTTATTTTTGGCCAGGTCTACTTTCCTTTCCTCTCTTCCGTTCCGCAACGACCTGATAAGATTAACACTATATTTTATATTAACTTTCATATATTTTTTGTACAAATTTTATAATAAACTGAATTACATGTGAAATTCAGTCACCGCGTGATTGAGTGACAAAAGCAAGTACTTCTTTGAGAACTGAAAGACAGTATGTAGCTTACTTTTTGAACAAGAAGAATTGCATCAATCTCATTGCTACCAGATTTTATAAGGATAGATTCAAGATTTTATGATGATTTCATGACGACAGTTTCTCACAATAATCATTTCGTTACACGCAGCCATTCCTCATCGCTGCAGGGTATACACTGTGTCCCCTTATCTTCTACTCTAGCACCTTTGTGATAAAAAGATAACAAAAAAAATTGTTGCGCGGAAATACAAAGATGAGTTCCTGAAACAATCTTGAACAATCGTGTTATTACAGGAACTTCTGTTTTCTTCTGGAGTGAACAATCTCTTTTTCGAACTTTTCCCCTTAAGTTAGGAAGAATAAAATACTGCTGTGTTTGTTTCTGGAAGAATATTCTTCTAAGAATTAATGGA